ATATACATATGTATATGTATGTGTGGATATGGATGCGTGCTTGCATGCATGCATGTGTGTATGTATACGTATGTATGAAAGGGAAAATGTAAAAATTGACAAATATTTGCATGTATGTAATTGACTATGAAAAAAGAAAAAAGAGAGAGAAAGTGAAGAAAAGTGAAAATATATATAGCACTGATGTTCGGTGCGGCTCAATCAAACGAAAAATAAATATTTTCTATATAACATCTTTCTTCATAAGCAGAATAACAGCCTTTCATTCCGCTGGCTCCCAGAATTGTCTTTATGTTTTTCCTAATAGATATCAAATATTAAATATATAATAATATATAAAATTGTTTTTAAAAGATTTTGTCTGGGAGTCTTCATAATAAAATCAAGATAATTAGTCATTATTTATTAATTCTATTTATCATTATTTATATGACTGGTTTGATTAATTTTTTATTTTTATCAATTTTTATTTATATCACAGTAAATTTAATTGTTTAATCAATTTATAGGAAAGTTTCTAAGTTACAACTTCCAAAAAATAGTTTGAATATTAAGCTAGTTGTGAGCCAAATCATAATCAATTGATTTACTATAATCTTTTTTAATAAATATATTTATTTTTTAATAAATAATTAACAAATTTTTTATAAGCAAAATATGAAAAAAGAACGTTTCTTTTTTTACTTTTAAATAGCACAAAAAAATTAAGATATAAAAATGCAATAAATATAATTATTATTTAACATTACATATAATTATTATTCTGATGATTATACAAATTTATATTTTTTTTAATTGCATTAAAGGAAAATATTATATATTTTAAATAATTACTAAATTGTTATATGTTTTTAAAATAATTATAAGTCTATTTTATCTAATATATTATTCTATCTAATTCTTTTACTATAGAATTTTTGTCTGAAAAATTTTTCCTCCGAATATCGAATAATATATTAACAAAATTTAATTTGAAGAAATCAGAAATTTCAATAAAAATTTTGATATAAAACAAAGAAATTTCTGAAACAATAAAAGTTAAATATTTGAAATGATATTCGGAATGGAATTAAATCTTTTCAGCTTTGGATACTTGTTCAGTACTCATATTCGTGTATTCACATACTTGCGTGAGTTTCTCTCTCTCTCTGTCGCCATACGACGATGGAACACCAGCCACCAGGTCGCTTACGCTCAAACTGAGCGGCAAGTGCAAGGTACTGTTGTGTTTTACTCATTATTTTATGTAGATATACACACACGCACACGCATGCATGCATGCATACATATATGCATACATGCATACACACGCGCGCGCGTGCACACATCATATATACATGCATCACACACATGCGCGCGTGCACACACGTACACACACACATGCGCGCGCGCGTATATGTATATATATATATATTTATTTATTTATACATATTGCATTCTGGACAGCTTATACAAAAAGATGAAACATGTTTATTATACTCTTAATGAAGCGAAAAAATTTATTTTAAGATAATATTAATTAATTTTAATATATTAATTTCTGAATCTTAAAAATTTGTGTTTAATCATAACAATTAAAAGAAAGATTGAATTTGATTTATTCTATTTTTATTAACTAAAAATTTAAATTTCATTATATAATATTTAATTATATCGTATTATTTTAATAATTTAAAAAAAGTGTAATTAGAATATATAAATAATGTGCAATAAATAGAATTGGAATGTTATTATTATTATTAAATAAAAAACAATTTTATATTTTTTGATAAATTAAAAATATTATTATTTTATATAATAATATAAATTTTTATTGATATTATTTGTATTAAATTTTGTTTAACTGAATGTTAGATTTTATAATAAATTTTGTAAAATAATTTATATTATCATATTCAAAAAATCATATTCGTTTTATGATTGTTATTATAAGTTTAAGTTCGTCCAGAATGTTACTTTTTCTAATGAATCATATTATTACAAATTTAAAAAAAAAAAAAGTAAAAAAATTAAGAAGAAAAAGAATATTATAATACAAAATAGTATAAGTATAGTATAAATAGTATAAGAAGCCCGTGCACCACTCCGAAGCAGAGTTTAAACAAAAAATTTTGTTTTTTTTTCAGAATATCATTAATAACAAAAAATTGCGATTAATTTATTTTAATGAATAACAATGAACAATGATTAATGAATCATTTATGTAAATATTTACGTATTTATATATGAACACTATCATAAATAATGACAGAATTTAACAAAACAAATATTATAAATGCAAAAATCAGTTTATTTTTAATATTTTTTACAATAGAAGTATTATTATTTTAATGGAATGTTTGATTATAATTTCTATATGTTATATATAATTTTTGTTTAATTTAAAATTATTTTCTTTGCAATTAAATATTGTAACCTGTTATTGATGTCGATTTAATCGATGAAAAAAACTTGGTATGCACATGCGCAAAAATATGTGATCGATATTAGAATATCGGGTATAAAATCTTGAATACATACATTAACCTCGAATTTTTATTCATATTCATTTAGAAAACATTTAAAAAATATCAAATATTCTTAGGTGATCCAATGTAAAAAATACTTTGAATATAAGATTTGAATATTTAAAAAAATTAAGAATTTTTAAATATTTAAAGAATAATAAATTTTCAATATAAAATTGACATTTTTTATTATATTTAATTAATTATATCATTATCAATTATAACTTAATAAGAATGATATCATACAATTTTTTGCTTATAAATGAAAGTAAAAAAAATATTATAAACATCTTTACAAAATATATTGCAAGTTATATAAAAAACAAAATACATAATATAATATTATAGATTATTATATTAAATATGTATATTTTAATTATGAATTATTAAAGAGTCACTTTTTATTTCATTTCTTAAAATTTTTTATTTATTCAAATCTGTTTTGATTAATAAATATTTTCAATATTTTGATTTTTATTATGTAATATAATTTATATATATAATATCAAAACTTTAAAAAGCATTCAATTTCGTAATTTGAATCTTCTTATTTGACTAGCCAAAAAGTAATGGCTATTGAATATATTACATATATGGGGATAATTAAATTTGATGATCTTTGATAAATTTTACTTTTAATTTTCTTTATAAATGAAAAACAAAATATTTCAATTTTAATTATATTTTATTTGAAATTAATAATTAAAAACTAATTAAAAGTTATGAAACTAATATTAATTTCATATATATTTCATATATATTTATATATTCAATTTTATGATTTTGAAATTACATAAGTCTATAATTATATTTTTATTATATATAATTTGAGTTAAATATATTTTAATATTTTAATATTGTTTGTTTCAGGCACAATCTTGGAATGGAACAAATGGATCTATTATGTGATTTTTCCTCAATCTTATGTATTTATTGTAAACATAAGCATTTTAATAAAATTGAGATATGAATGTATATAACGATATGAACATATTATATTAAATAATTTAAGTTAATTATTTTTATTACTGTCTTATATTCTAATTTTATAATTTTTTATTTTTTGTGCACAAATATTTTATAATGTTAACGTAACATTTTTTGTTTTAATTATTGATTAAAATTATTGGAATTATTATTAAAATTATTGAAATTATTGAAATGATATATCATATTTTCATAAAAAATAAGTGAGATTGATTTAAATAATATATTAAATAAAAAAATAATGCATTTCTTATTACTTTTCTTTGATTTTTATTAAATTTTTTATATCAAATTTTGATTTTTGATATTATTATTAAAAACCTGAGAAATTGAAAAAGATTCAAAAAAATTTCTATATATGACACTTTTTATATATATATATACATATACTCAAATTTAGGAATTGTATATTATAACAAAAATATATATAATTATATTTCATAAATGCTTTAACTTTCTGAAAAATAATAAAATTTAATGGAAACTTTATATCTATATTAAATATGACACTAGTTTATGCATAACATTATATATAAATAATATTTATATAAATAAATTTATATAAAATTCTAATATTTTAACTTTATATATAATCTAATTAAAAAAAGTAGTAATTCTTTTATAAAGATTTAAAGTTAATATACATCAATACATATATAAATACACAATATATTTATAGAAAAATAATGTGTAAGTAAGTATTATTATAATAAAAGTAATCTTTTTATTCTATGAAATAAATATTTTATAATATGCAATATTATTAGATATAAAAAATATGACAATATTAAATTGAAATACATAATTATCTAAAAAACAAAAATAATTCATAATAATCTTGTAATATATTCAAATTATAGATTTAATTAAATATTAATTAAATTTAATCAAAAATACACGAAAAATATAATTTTATGTATTTTATGTAATTTTAAATAAATACTATTTATAATCTAAGCATTTTTTTTATAATATATTTTTTATAATTTCTTAAAATAATTTTAGAATCAAAATAATTATTAATATTATCTTAAAAATTAAATTATATTAAAAAAATTAATAATTATTTACTATTATTTTAATTACATTTATATAATTATTTATAATTATTTGAAATAACATTTTCATTTGACAATTAAGTAATTTTAAATTTATATATATATATATATATATATATATATATATATAT